GTATGGAAGTCTGATTAGAATTTTCCTTTGTAAACAATGAAGCACTTAAGTAATTTGAAGAATAGCTATTGGCTGTAGATCTTTAAAAATCTGGAATGCTTTCAATCACATGTGGTCCTTTTGGGCATGTGAACATATATATATTCAACATGAGGATATATATATATTTCTCCCTTCCCACACACAAACCTTAGAAATTGCAAATCGGGGGCAGTGTCTCTGATGTTGCCTTTCTCCTCTTGCAGTCGGATTTCAATGGATTGCCAGTGGGGACTTATCAGGCCTTTCCCAATATTCATCCACCTCAGATACCAGCAACTCCCCCATCGTATGAATCTGTAAGTGCCTGAGCGCCTCTTTTATAACCAACAGGAGAGAGAATCCCATGAAGAGAGCGCAAAATAATGACCACAGGGAAGGCGAAGTTTTAATCAACTCCTAGTACCGGCATTGCTGTTGCTTTGGGATTCTTGTGTTGCTTTAATGCTACCCTGGAAATAGGGAGTGGCGGTGATGGCAGCCTCATTGGTGGCAATGCTTTGTCTGTGCAATTAAGCCAGGAATCAGGAAGGAGCTGCAGATCTCTTAGAGTTGTAGTACCCTCTGAGGGTACTTACTTTTTATTTTTTTTAAACTAGCTAGGCAGAAAATCATGTTGAGCTGGTATAGTCTTGGTGCTAGAATATCATAATTATTAAAATAGTAACATTAAAAGTTCTCAACACTTATGTAAAGGAATAGTGACCATATTTTTGTCTTAAAAGAAGCATTTCGCAAATTTCAGCCTATAGCTTTGATTTCACATTTTAGTCTTGTAGTTAAAATTTGCTATTAATAGCTAGCACAGTAATGATGCCTTGAATTTTTAGTGGTTGTTAACAGTTTTGGTTCAGAATTAGATTTTTTTTCTGCCAGCCTTGTTTCCTCAGTATATGCCTTTTGACCAGTTTCCATCTGACACTTTACTGAGAAAACAAATTGGTATGGCGCTTGGTGTGTAAATTACTTATCTAGGAAAAATCTTCCTGTTCCTGAGCTTTCTGTTTTTTGATTTCATCTTTAGGTGATTTGTTTTACCTTGGGCCTGAGTTTTTCTTATGCTTTGGTCTTGCATGTGTCAAAGCATGACCCATAGCTGTTTCTAGGAATGAGGTAGAAGATCTTTATCAGTATTTGAGGACTTGGTTCTTACAGATGTATTCAGTGGTTTAGTGCTTTCTCTTTGCTTGGAAGGTGAAGGTATCATTAAAAAAAAAGTGTGGCCGGGCACGGTGGCTCACGCCTGTAATCCTAGCACTCTGGGAGGCCGAGGCGGGCGGATTGTTTGAGCTCAGGAGTTCGAAACCAGCCTGAGCATCTCTACTAAAAATAGAAAGAAATTAATCAGACAACTAAAAATACAACTAAAATATCCTGGGCATGGTGGCGCATGCCTGTAATCCCAGCTACTCGGGAGGCTGAGGCAGAAGGATTGCTTGAGCCCAGGAGTGTGAGGTTGCTGTGAGCTAGGCTGATGCCACGGCACTCACTCTAGCCTGGGCAAAAGAGTGAGACTCTGTCTCAAAAAAAAAAAAAAAGTGTCATGGTGTGGTAAGAATTTTCCTTTTCTCTGCTTGGCAGTTAAGAGTTCAACGTGGTATCTACCTGGTTGGAAGAAGTGGGGGGGAGGGGCAGTTCTTTGGAGCAGGTTCTGTTGCTTTTGGTGAGCACCTTAGCTCTTGGGAAACACAGGGGCTTATTAATACTCATACTTTCTCTAGTGATGCCATTGCTTTATCCTCTGACAACAATGTTTGTGTTTCAGGTTGATGACATTAATGCTGATAAGAATGTCTCTTCTACACAGATTGTTGGTGAGTGTGTCAGAAACCTTTCAGGTTTCTGAATCCTCTGTTTTGTCATTATTGTTCTTCCCCCAGAGACTGTTTCCACATCCATGGTATTGTACCCACATTTCCTATTCTCTTCCCAGAAGTAGTATGGCTAAAACAGAACTCAAGATTTCCTGCTTCCAAAGAGAAAAGATTTTCCTTGGTTCAAAAGAATTTCCCAAGTTCCCTGTTTCTGTCAGTGGTATCCCCTTTTTTCCGCCCCCAGGCAGATCTCACTTTATTGCCCAGGCTAGAAGTGCAGTGGCTCAGTGATAGCTCACTGTAGCCTTGACTCCTGGGCTCAAGCAATCTTCCTGCCTCAGCCTCTCTAGGAGGGAGGTGTGTACCACCATGCCTGCCTAAGTTTTTAAAATTTTTTTTATAGAGACAGGGTCTTGCTATACTGCCAGGCTGGTCTCAGACTCCTGGCTCAAGTGATGCACACCCCCACCCTCCCAGAAGTGCTGCGATTACAGGCATGAGCCACGCCTGGCATCACTATTCTTTTTGATCTTGTAAAGATCATCACGTTCAAGTTTTTTATTATTGTTTCTTCAGTTTCCATTGTGCCTGGAAATACAAAAAAACTTTTTAAAAATCAGGGCACTAGAGAGATGTTAAAAAGAGGTGAAAATAAGCACAGATCATAACAGTATAGCT